ACTTTCAAGAAAAAAGTTTCAAGGAAACTGCTATAACTATGACCAACAGGGTCATCAGGCTGCTAATTGCAAGCTTCCAAAGAAGGCACGGGAGGCAAATGTTGTGGAGAAGATAACCAAAGATGTGTCTGACATCGATCTGGCAGCAATTGTTTTTGTAGTTAACCTTGTGGAGTCTAATCCAAGGGAATGGTGGATTGATACGGGAGCTATCTGCCATGTTTGCTCGAATAGAGAATGGTTCAGAAACTTCAAGGTTGTGGACAATGGTGATAAGTTATTTAAGGTAAACTCAACAACTTCTGATATCCAAGGAGTTAGGAAGATTATGTTGAAGATGACGTCGGGAAGAGAGCTAAATTTGAATGAAGTGTTGTATGTACCCGAAATTCGTAAGAATCTTGTGTCGGGCTGGTTGTTGAACAAGCATGGTTTTCGCTTGATTTTTTAGTCGGATAAATTTGTGTTAACCAAAAATGGTGTCTATGTGGGTAAGGTGTATGATGATAGGGCTATGTTCAAACTTTGTGTAATGGCTCTTAAGCCAAATGATAATGAAATGAATAACTCTTCTACTTAATTGCTTGATTCTTCGAATATTTGGCATGCTATGTTAATTTTTATACTCTTCGACGTTTAATTAAACTTGAACACATACCACACTTTCACTTTGACTCAAAATACAAATACAACACTTGTGTAGAATCAAAAGTAACAAGACAATCTTTCAAGTCCATTCAAAAGACAACTAAACTACTTGGATTAATTCACATAGATGTGTGTGATGTGAAATCGATTCCATATAAGGGTGGAAATAAGTACTTTATCACTTTTATTGATGATTACATTAAATTATGATATGTCTATTTACTTAAAAGTAAAGATGAGGCCATAGAGAAGTTCAAAGTGTATAAAAGTGAAGTTGAGAATCAACTCAACAAAACAATTAATGTACTAAGAAGTGATCGTGGAGGAGAATATGTATCACCATTTGAGGAATTTTATGCAAATCATGGTACAATACATGACCTTAATGAAACTATTCACCACAACAAAATGGCATCGCAGGAAGGAAAAATCGTACCTTAAAGGAAATGATGAATGTCATGTTGTTAAGTTCTGGGTTTCCACCCTCAATGTGGGGGGAAGTTGTACTTTCAGCTAACTACCTTTTAAATAAGGTACCATGAAAGAAATTGGATAAAAAACCATACGAGTTATGGTCGGGTATAAAACCATCCTACAAATATATTCGAGTGTAGGGGTGTCTTGCAAAGGTCGTCGTACCTGCACCCAAGGTGCTTAAGATAGGACCCAAGACTGTTGATTGCATATTTATTGGATATGCACAAAATAGTAGTGCATATCGGTTTCTTGTGCATGACTCAAAAATACCATAAATTCATAAAGTCAGAATAATGGAATCAAGAAACGCATCATTCTCTGAGAATGTGTTTCCATGTCTTGCTAAAGCTGAGACAATTGCTACAAAAATAATTGATCAAAATGACACCTCTCATGAAAATGAAATAGAGGAAGAAATAGAGTCTCTTAGAAGTAAAAGGGCACAACTTGAGAAGTCTTTTGGAGATGATTTCTACACCTACATGGTTGAAAGAGAGCCTCAAACTTTCAAAGAGGCAATTACCTCCTCTGAAGGACCTCAATGGAAAGAGGCAATTAAAAGCGAAATGGATTCCATCTTGCAAAACCACACATGGGAGCTAGTGGATTTATCTCAAGGTTGAAAACCACTAGGCTATAAATGGATTTTCAAGAAGAAAATGAAAGCAGATGGTTCCATTGACAAGTACAAGGAAAGGGTAGAAATAAAAGGCTATAGATAGAAAAGTGGTCTTGATTACTTTGATATGTACTCTCCTGTCACATGTATTATGTCCATTAGATTGGTACTTGCAGTTGCATCTATAAGAAATCTTGAAGTACATCAAATGGATATTAAAATAGCTTTTCTAAACAGGGAGTTAGAAGAAGAAATCTACGTGGAACAACTAGAAGGGTATGTTGCCCCAGGACAATAATTAAAGGTTTGCAAACTAGTAAAGTCATTATATGGGTTGAAACAAGCCCTAAAACAATGGCATCAGAAGTTTGACCATGTGATGTTGGAAAGTGGTTACAAGATTAACGAATGTGAAGTGTGTTTATGTTAAAAACACAAGTGAAGGTTATGTTATCTTGTTCCTTTATGTTGATGACATGCTTATTGTTGGTAACAACGATAAAAATGTTCAATCAACAAAGAACATGCTAAAGGAAAGATTTGACATGAAAGATATAGGTTTGGAAGATGTCATTCTTGGTGTGAAAATCACAAGGACTGCAAATGGACTTACCTTAAGTCAAACCCCTTATGTGGACAAACTCCTTGAGAAGTTCAACTCTGGTGATACTAATGTGGCTAGGACATCAATTGATACAAGTCACCATCTAAGTAAACATAGAGGTAAAGGAGTTGCACAAGTCAAATATGCAAGAATTATTGGTCGTCTGATGTACCCTATGAGTTGTACCAGACCTAACTTAGCCTTTGCAATAAGCAGACTAAGTAGATATACCAGTAACCCGAGTGATGAACACTGGAAGAGTATTAAACGAGTATTACAATAATTAAAGTATACTCATAATTATGGGCTGCACTATACAAGATATCTCGAGGTGATAGAAGGGTATAGTGATGCAAATTGGATATTTGGAATTAAAGATTCCAAGTCAACCAGCGGGTTTCTGTTCACACTTGGAGGTGGAGCTATATAATGGAAATTTTCAAAACAAACAGTTATAGCTAGATCCACCATGGAGTCTGAGTTTATAGCACTTAATAAAAGTGGTGAAGAAGCTGAATGGCTGCAACAATTTCGGAAAGATATACCAGTATGGGCTAAACCAGTTTTTGCAATCTCAATCCATTGCGATAGTTAATCGGAAATTGGACGGGCGAACAGTGCTATGTATAATGGTAAGTCTTGACATATCTGTTGAAGACACAACACCATTCGACAACTACTCTCAACTGGAGTTATCTCAATTGACTACATAAGGTCTAAGGATAATATTGTGGATCCGCTAACCAAATGGCTAAATAGGGAGTTAGTTGCAAAGTCATCAAGAGGAATGAGATTAAAACCCATGAACGAATAAGTTATTGCGAAGGGAAACCCAACCTAGTTTATTAGAGATCCCAAGATCTAGGTTTAATGGGACAACCTACTTGCATATAACATATGTAGGATCACTGTGGGGGTCAACCCCAACCCATTCCCATAAATAAACAGTAATGTAGGTTAAACTTATAGTAGTTGATGATAAGTTAAACATCATCAAGCTTTAGCTTTTAATGATTATGATATAATTACCTATGTGAGAGATAAGAGGGATCGCTTCAAATGGAATTGAATGGGCAAGTTCCTAAGAGCTCTTATAGAACCAGGCAAGTGTACATGACCATAACAAACACATCAATGAGAACCTTACTAGGCTAGGGAAAATCATGTGAGATATGTATTGATTATTTACACAAATGAAGGAACAGTTCAAGGACATTAAGTCTACTGGTCTATCAGTAAAATAAATATGAATCTTAAGGGAAAGTTCAAAGGGTAATACCTACCTATCCTATGCATGATTCAACTGCTGGATTTTACCTAAGCAACTTGAAATTGTTGAAGCAATTTTCATCCATGTGGGGGATTGTTGGAAAGTAAGTTTTACTAATTTCCAATAAATGTTTTTTTTTTCATTTACGAGCACGAATTTTGAACTCTAAATGTAATAAAAAAAAAGAGACAAATGATTATATATTCGTGTTCTCCTCCGTGCTACATTCGTTTTGATATATTACATGTACAAAATCAATTAAAATTGAATGAGAAATTACTTGTCAAACTAAAATAGTTGAAAGAGATTAAAAAGGTGTTAATAGGGTTTTGTTCATCCTATATTGGTGGAAGTATGAAAAGAAAATGAGTTTATAACTACAAAGACTAGCTATCTTTGTAAGACTTATAGAGCCAATGTTCTCTCTTGCGTGTGCACGCATGAGGGGTGCAAATGCGAGCCAGTTTGGCTTCGGTTCACTAAACTTGTGTGCGAACGCGTGTCCTGCGGGTACGAATGCACCACCGATTAACCAGAAAAGTTCAAAGACCTTTTGCAATTATTTTCTTTTTGTTTAACAGTTACAAAACCGAATTAAAGACTATTAATAATAGATTTCGGTTTTGATCTATCAATTAACTATGTCATTTAATTGACTGTTACGTTTTGATGTTTAGTGACATCAATTATGATTTATAATATAAATTGAGCATCTCGTTGACCGTTTAAAATACACCGAATGAATAAAAAACAATCTCATCTTTCTCTCTTGTGCTTCTGCTTCTTCTTCCATCTTTTGCTGCAACCAAGGTACAACGCGAACCAAGTGAGGGTTCGGGTAATTTAGAAGAATTATTTTCTACTGTTGTATCCCGAAAAACAAACATCCATATAAGACGAATTTGTTTTAAGGAAACTGTGTTAAACACATGCTAAACATATTTTATTTTTTGTTCTTTCGGGCAATATTGAGTTAATTATATTTTCCTAACAATTTCCACATGTCACGAGCTTCATATTGAGGAGGAAAGTTTGTAAGATAATAGGTGACTGCTAACTTCTCAATTGTGACATTCCTGTGGTTGAAGCAACGAGACTTTCTATCCTTCTCTCCCCCCTTCTACCGATTCTTGAAATTCCAGACCCATCCATCCGTCAATACCATTCTGCAATACCAAAAATAACCCCTCCCCCACCCAGCGATCACCCTCGCCGGAGAATAGACCGGCGAACAGATTGCCTTGCAAACAATGATAGATTCATATATATATATATATATATATATATATATATATATATATATATATATATATATATATATATATATATATATATATATATATATAGTCCATGCATACTGGTTGTTAATACGAAGTTTACTTTCAGTAGTTCCACAGATTGCCTCCACCAAAATAATATGCCCCATTGTCCGGGGGACTATAATCGATCCTTGGTGGACTTATGAGCATTCCCTCCGCCATATCCAATAACAGATTTGGCATGCCAAACACTGCTTCATCATCCATAAATACACCAGCAGAAGGGGCTGTATATATATTATCTGCAGCATCCACCGTCATGCTTCCTTCACCACTTTCATAAGCCGGTGATCGAGCAGCAGCTGCTCTTGCTGCTGCAGCACGGATGTCGTCAGCCGTAGAACACTCAGGAAGCGTATTTGAGAGAACAGATTCTGGGAAGTTTAGCACCGCATGCGTACCTTTAAGTGCCAATGTGGCCACGTCGTAAGCAGCGGCTGCCATCTCCGGTGTGGGATACGTGCCAAGCCATATGCGACTTGACTTGTTCGGTTCACGAATTTCAGACACCCATTTCCCAGCTCGCAATCGGATTCCATGGTAAACTGGGTGGCGGGTCGAGGAGGATCCGCCGGCTTCTGTGGAGTGAGAGGTATCATCTTGGGGTAGCTGAAAAGCGGAGGAGTTGCTGCGTCGACGGTTCGCCATGCAATGTTATGAATTGGTGTCTGTGTAGTTATAGTCGGATGGATTCTGTTGATGACGGTGGTCCATCATAACTGGAATCCTAAACATTATGCAGCGTGGCGACTTCGCGGGTGTGCTGAAAGGGTTCTTAAAAGTTTTCAAGTAGACCCCCCATTTTAGAAGTAATGCATATAAGGTCCCTAGCTAATCATATATTATGGATTTAAGCTGCATAACAATAAAAATCCAAATAATATTTTTTGAAAAATAAAAGTAGAAATAATAAAACCATATAACGATCAACAATATATATGGACTGCTAAAATTAGTTTAGAATATTATCTCAAACCTTAAAAAAACACTCAAAAAATCTTTTTGAACCTGACCTGCATTTTATTTGTCAGCGAACGTTTTTAACTTTTTATTATCAACAAATTAAATATGATGGATAGGTACCAAGAAATCATTATAAAATTGGATTTGGATCTCCTTTGGTTTAACTTAAAATAAATAAGGTTCCCACTAGTTCTTTGACACTGCTGAAATAATTTTCATGCATATACCATTTTCTGTTCTTTGATAGACAAACAATTAAATCCACAAGTAATATAACAAATTATATCTCTATCTTTCTTTCCATGCATATATCATTTTCGGTTGTATTTCAGATTTGATAGAAAAACAATCAAATCAACAACTAATATAACAAATTATATCTCGATTAATTGCGAATAATAAATTTAGTTATTATTATAAATATAACTACCGAGTTTCACCCAAAAAACCAGATTGATCCTATGTGATCATATATGATTAAAAGAAAGGTATATAGAAACTACCCAATTATCGGACGAAATAAAATTCGGAAGCCAATTACCCGATGTTTTGTTGATCGTGAGAGCTAAAAACTGCACATAAAGGCTCATGTTCTTAAAGTTTTTTACGCCGCATTAAGGTTGTAAGTTTTAGCTTATGTAAAACGTCAGGATTTGATACAGAATAGAACTATTGAAGAAAATATAAGTTGATTAATTACTCGGTAAAAACATAAGAGCTAAAAATCGCAGAGGGGGAGAGATGAGAGTTCCCCCAAAAAAATGGATCTGATGACGATATTGGGCCTCTCATAGGCTGTCAGGTAGCAATTCGAATTTGATAACGTCATTATCTAGTATCTTACCCGTGCTTATCCATGATGATGCAACATGCGAAGTGCAAAGTGTGCGTAAATCGTACCATTTCACAAACTTCTCATCTCTGGCTCGAGTAGAAGCCATATGAGTTTGGCTCATCTCTTGTCCGTCTTTATAGCCTTTGAAGACATAACAAAAAGAAAAAACATAAAAAACTCCTTTTAAGCTTCTTCCCCATCAATGCGGTATCAAGAAAAATGGAAAACTTGCTTATTCTTCAATTATTTCTATAACTTTCATCAAAATTAGTGAACCGTTTTTATAATAGTTTAGTAATACTTAACATATAAGAATTTTGCTAAATCATGTAAATATATTGTTTTATCTTTTTTATTCCCTTCATTAAAAATGTGCACATAACGGACTAAAGGAAAGATAATGATAGATCACAGTATAAGAATTTATATGCCTGGCTTGCCTCCAATGAAATATAGTTTTCGTGACCTTTTGACATATTATCTAAATGAGGTAGGAAATATTATAGTTTTACGTATTATGAGGGGTTTACATAAAATATAGCTGGTAGTAGTGTCTAATAAGTGTGATTATATATAATAATGTTGGAAAAAGATACATGGCCCAGATCTACCCGTTTGTCACTCGTTCTATAAGTACATTTATTTCGTAACCACACGTCTTTCACAATTTTTGGGTTATTTTAATAGAACTAATTATATATTTTCATTTTTAGATAATTACTGTATAGGACCTTCAATTATAATGAGTTTTCTACTTAGATTATTAATTTAATTAATCGTATGAAATTACTATCTTTTTAATTGTGTTCAGTAAAATAATAAATTATTCCTGATTTTTCATCATATGATCATATCTTGAGTTTTTTTAATCACTATTTGGTTGAAAACATAACATTAACATTGGAGTAGATATATTTTTTGTTTTTTTAATTGAGAACTCATTAAATATATTGTCTGATCAATTTATCTTTATGTTTTTATATATTGAAACATTTTCATACAATAATATTTATTTACCTCTTTAATTGTATTTAAATTTTAAACATTTTTTTTTATTTCTTTACGAATTAATTATGTAACGTCTGGTTCCTGATATGCATTTAAACTTATTTATTTATTTATTTTGGAAGGGCTACTCGACGAGTTGGTGACCCTAACTCGTCGAGTAGAAGGCAGAATATGCGTGGATTTTTATCGAGCTACTCGACGAGTCGAAGTCCTGACTCGACGAGTAGGATAGTCTGGATGAAACCCTAATCTTTAGGGCTTGCACCCTATTTAAGCATCATATATGGCCTCCACCCCAACCTCCATCACCTCCAAACCCTAATCTCGAAACCCTAATCAACCTTGAGTGATATTGAGCTATTCCTTTGCCATTGTTGTGATTTAAAGTTAAAAGAAGGAAGCAAAGGCTTTGAAGATCCAGAGGTAAGGACTCATTTCTGACTTGATAGAGGTATAAAACTTATACCTTGGCTTCTATTCACTTAGATCTTCATTTGAACTTGTATGTTGTCATTTTTGGGCAATCTCCAAGGTCATTCCGAGATTTGAACTCTTGGGATGTAAGGACTTCAGATCTGGGCACTCTTGAGCTTTAGGAGCTCAAAGTTGCCACCTTTATTCCACCATAGCCCTATTCCATGACTTAGACCTCCATTTTAGCTTATATTGGGTGTTGTAGCTTCATATCACCATGCATGCACGTAAAGTTAGCAACTTTATGTGTAATGCTAGTCTAAGGAGTCGAGATCTACGAGTTGGAAGCATTGGAGTTGATTAGAATCGACTGTATGGAATTGATACAAGGGGGACTCGACGAGTTGTTCTTATAACTCGACGAGTCGGGTCGCGAACCTCGAACCCCTTTTCTGGTTTGGGTGAAATCATTGAGTTTAGAGATTAATCAGTGAATTGGACAAGGTTAGGACTCGGAAGCTGAAGACTCGACGAGTCCAAGGAGGGACTCGACGAGTTGAGTTGGGTTGTCCTGATTTTATGGAAGACAAAACTCGACGAGTTTGTTAAAGGACTCGTCGAATTGACTCGGTTGACCACAAGTCTGAGTAGTACATGAACTCGCCGAGTTGGGAGATAACTCGACGAGTTGGGGTTGACTGGGAGTTGACCTTGACTTTGAATTTGACCTGGATGTTGACTTTGACCAAGGGTAAAATGGTCATTTTACCCTGAGAAGGATTATCAGATTTCTGATTAAGTGTATTATGTAGTTGATAGTCGGGGAGTCGCCGGAGTAGTAGTCAGAGATTCTTCACTCGAGTTTCAGCAGTCAGCCTTACGAGGTGAGTTTCCTTCAGTAGGAACGGGTCTACGGCACCAAGCCCGGCCCGCAGAATGATTCTGTTAGTAGCTGAGTGTGGGCGAGGCCCGTATCTCCCAGTTAGCTGAGTGTTGGCGGGGCTCGTATCTCATAACTTAGTTTGATTATGGATATATGCTTGATTGATAGATTTAGTTATACTTGTTGTCTGTGTGATACTTGTATGCATGTTTAGCAGCTGAGTGTGGGCGGGGCCCGTATCTCATAATAGTCGAGTGTGGGCGGGGCCCGTATCTCGTAGTAGCTGAGTGTGGGCGGGGCCCGTATCTCAGAGTCAGCGTAGTGTGAGCAAGACCCGTATCTCCCAGCTAGCGGAGTGTGGGTGGGGCTCGTATCTCCATGAGTTTGGGCGGGGCCCGTATCTCCTAGTTGCATGTTATATGTGTATGGTATGTGGTAGTTTGGGGAGACTCAGTAAACTTCGTGCTTACAATTTTCAGTTTTGGTTTCAGGTACTTCCACTAGCAAGGGGAAGGGCTCGGGATGATTGCATGGCACACACCACAGTTTAGCCTGGGATGTTCAGACTCTGATATTTTTACATGATTTTGATACAGTATTCGATGTGGTGTTTTTGAGATACACGATTTATGGTTTTTCTATATGATGATGGTTGAATTATGGTTTTATTAATGATTTTAAAAAGAAATTTCCGCTCTGTATTTTGGGGATGTTTCAAGTTGGTATCAGAGCCTTGGTTTGAGGGATTCGGGCACACTCTCGGTGTGTCCGAACTCAAACTAAGGACATGGTATGAAAATTTTCAAAAGAAAATCATTTTTACAAAAGAATTTTTAAAAAGAGAAAAGAACATTGAAAAGAGAAAAAGGGTGTGGTGCATGCAATCAGCCGAGCTCAAGTAAGTACTCCCAAATTACCCATTCAAGTTATGTTATGATATGTTTATGAGAATTGCATGCTAGATTAGGACTAAGGGTCTAGGAAGGATGCCTTATGTGTCTATTATATGTGTAGCAGCTTTATGAGAATTGCATGCTAGATTAGAGCTAAGGATCTAGGAAGGATGCCTTATATGCCTGTTATATGTATCTCAGCTTTATGAACCACATGCTAATACAGCTTAGTCAGTGATGGCCTGAATATGATATGCTTGATTATGTGTACTCGATGCTCAAATGCTGCTTGCTTTGTGCTTTTAGGAGTTCTAGTTATCTCTTACTAACTAGTAAATGAATATGTTAAGTTACATATTGCGAGGATTAAATAATTTCAGAATGGTTAGGTCTAGCTCTATTGTGCAGCTCTTGTTTGAGTCCAACCGTTGTGCGGTAGGATCTCTTATTCGAAGAATTATCTAGTCTTAGTGATATGTAATAGTATTCACAAGCTAGTTAGGGGGAGATAGCAAGGACTTCTTATGCAGCTGATAGTGGAGAGTGTGTTGGTGGTTACCCTAGGGCAAGCCTAGGATGAGTTAGCATGAGATCAATAGTAGTGGTAGAAGGGACTTGGTGGAGTCGAGGAAGTTCTTGAGGAAAGTACGGA